TATTCGCGAAGTCAAAGACAAGATGATTACCACGACGTGGGACGTCACAACCGTCACCGTTAATCCCATCAGTCAAAGTTGGTCTGTCTTGAGAATAGTAAATTGCCACCCCAAGACCCGGATGCAAAATTGAAAGCCTGGTAGTGCCGGAGAACAGGTAGACTCCAATCACCTGCAGACGGACCCGGAAAACACTTGATGTAGGCCTACTGATGATTTTTGTATAGTACACCAAATTTTAAATGAGCTCATTGATTGTATTTTAATTGAATGAAACCGTCATTTCGACGGGCTCTTTGTTAAATTTATTTTGATAATGATTTACCTTATATAATATTTTAGAACAGAATCTTATAAAGTATTGTTTGAAAACAATATGGTATACAAAGCGAGTATTTCTAACAATTGATAAATTTTAAACACGATGTTACATTTTCAGCTTATTTTTCACTTAACCTAATTTTAGACATCTCTTAATTATTTTAAATTTTAAAATAATTGATGCCCCTGAATACAATTCAATCTGTTCAGTACATATATATATCATTAAAATTCGCTATAAATTTTTTATAAAACATAAAAATTCAATATATCGATTTCTCATCTAGTTATTCAGAACATAACGTCTCAATTTAATTATTCTAACTCAATGGTTCTCCTTTTTGGACCTATGGCACACTTAAACAATCATGCGAAGGTTGCAGTACTCTCATTATTAATTAAATATAATAGGACCGGCCAACAGGTTGATCACGGAGCTCTCTCTATTACCTTTTACGTAATAGTGTACTGATACAAACTTCTGAAATATAGTTAAAAACAGATAGAAGTTCATTTGTCATTCTTTTTTATAAATTTGAATATTTTCGCTTTAATTCTTTTTTTATTAATCTCGTGGCACACTTAGAATGCCTTCGTGGCACACCGAACCACTAGTCTAACCAGTAAATTAGGTGTTATAAATTTTCTTCGCTCATTGGAGATTTGAAATGAAAAAATATTTAAAAATTTCATATTTTCAGATGCATATAATTTAATAAAAGACTTATCTTGATTTCTTATAATGAAGTATAACAGATTTCGAGAAGTTGCATAAACTTCTATCTCGGCTTTTACGTATTATGTCAAAAGATTCACTTCAAATTACATTTATTAAAAAATAGAATTACTGTATGCCACAATAGCTTCCTACTTAAATTTACTTACGTCAGGCATTCAAAATGGCATTATATAAGAATTTAAACGGTAATTCTTAATACAGCGCATCACATCTTGCAGTATCTTTTAGTTTTGTTCATCTTCTTGTTTGCATTTTTGAATGAACTGAATCTTTTTCGAGATTTTATACAACTTTTACAGATTAGATCTCTGGATCTATGTCAACTATTTCGTTAGTGTCGACGGGCAACGGGATCGTATGGCGTGACTAAAAAAAACAATATTTGGCCCAAATAATCTATGAAAATTTTATAACATACTAGGTCCAGATTGCAACTGGAATTCCTCAAAATAAAAACTATGCATATTTATCTGATATGGTGCTGACATGAAAAATCTAGAGAGACTTTTCCAATCCAATAGATAGATTCTAGGTCGAGAATTATCGTTGGAAATGACACAATTTATCGAGTTGTGCCCACAAATCTGGTACAGCACATAACTGAGGATATTAATATATGATTGTGATAGATTATCAGAAAGATGCATTGGTATTTATACAGTAGCTATTTTATAATTAAATAAAGAATTTTAATTATAGTATTTGTTTTCATTAAAACTATAAAAAGTTTCAGGCTTGCAGAGTTTTAAATCAGTTTATAGACCAGATTTTGTTGCATTTTAACTGCTAAATATCTTTACATGGCATTGAATAGTGGTATCTTAATTACAATTACCCAATATATACGATTGGATATAAACCTTTGTTTTCGTGTTTCTAAACAATATCATCCGAAATAAAAAAAATTCATAAAGATAATTAATTCTATATATTAAAACAAAAGTTATAGTAGGAATACGTTTAATCATATATTAATTTGGTAAGCCTTAAATACCGTCCAGCTTAGTTTGAAAGAACGACTGAGGGTACAAACAAGGTTCAGGCATCAAAATAAATCTGCAGAAGAGTTTATTGCAATCAGAAATGAAAAATTCATAACCGTTCAGGTGTGGTGAGTGGCAAAGGTACAATGTTAAGTCTACGAGACAAACATGCTATGTTCTCGTGCTTTATCTAGTGAGATAGTTTTCTTTTTTAATTTTTAGTATGTGGTGAAGCATCTATATCCCCTTATAGTTCCCAGGGGTCACGCTGCCTGTTGCAAAATTTGCAATNTTAACTATTTATAATTTATTTTGTATACTAGTACTTTCTATATATTAACAGGACTTATTATACTGGAAAATTATGGATGCAGATATCTAGTCTTACAGATAAAAAATAATGTTCTTTATTTAGTTCACCTGAACACATACACTTCAAACATGTGTTTCGGACTTGTTCGTCCCTCCTCAGCAGGCCTTCAAACGACACTTTCTATACTTAACAATAATCAACTATAAAAACATTTTTCGGTACAATTATTACTAAAAATTTAACAAAGAACATAAACATTTCCCGACAATAAATATTTAAAGCTCTTACATTTTCTGTTTTTTCAAAATTCACTATATTTCCACTTAAACTTCCGATCCACAACAACCATACGATTTTGCACATTCTTCTTTTGGTTTGTCTGTAACTACTTAATTTTCATACTAAGTCCTGTTAATATATAGAAAGTACTAGTATACAAAATAAATTATAAATACCAAAATGGTTAATTTACTGTGTTTTTGTTATTTCTTACTCCTGTTTTTAGGTATTCGGTATTCGGCCGAATAGTGATTAAATATTCGGTATTCGGCCGAATAGTGATTAAATATTCGGTATTCGGCCGAATAGCGAAAAATAGGTCGAATAGGCGAATACCGAATAGTAACCGAATATTCGTTACATCACTAATGTTGACGAATCTGGTTTGAAAAGGATTTAATTTAGTAAATTGTGAATTTCTACTAAACTATATTGAAAAATTAAAAATTATCTTTAGTAAAACTGCTAAAAGATTGTGAGATATTCAAAATTTGCGTTTCATATTTATATTGTACACTCAAGCCTTTTGTCTTTTAAATTTTAAGAATGAAATTGTTATTAGGCCTATTTCTAATAATAAAAGAAACTATCGACCAAGAAAACATACGTGATACAGCTGATTGTATAAGTGATCTTCTTCGAATTTGCCTTTCGTTCATCCTACGATTCTTTATCAACTATGGCATTAAATAAAGTTGAAGCCGCATTATATTGTAAGTAATAATCGGAAAAACTGAATTTTAAGTCAATGTATTAAATTAATGTGTAACGAAGCTGATTTTGTGGTTTATTTTCGTTCCATTAAATGATTTTTGATTGATCCTCGAGTTATTTTATTTGCTCTAATGAATAATCGAGTAACTCGTGATTCCATAGAGTCTACAGCTAGAATAGTGTTATTCGAACTATACAATTATCGCATTTTCTTCAATGTAATAATGGCAAACAGTACGTAGGATGGCCGAGAAAGTAAAGACATTAATCTGTCACTCCGGGGGAGGTTTGTCTGGAATATGTCGGGCTCTATTTCTCATCATCCGGCCGCTCTTACAGTAGGTCTGGCCGATCATCGCTTCAGATAAAATATAGTAATTGTAAGATTACTATAGTCTAAAAACAAAATGAATAATTTAATACTAAAAGTTAATGCCTTCCCTCCAACGGTTATTTGTCTGCACTAACGCTATTATCTGCACAATAGACCAATTTCAGGCAGTAACTGATTCGCAGACGTCTCGTATTATTGGTATTGCGAATAATAATGCCGTTGAATAATAAACGAATAATTTAGATAACACAAAATTTTCTATCACATACAAGATTCCTTAACCTAATAATGTTTATTAACAGATAGCCTAATAATTGAAAAATCAAATGGAGAATAGCTAAATAGGATTTTCTATATACAATATATACATTTTGCATACTAGAATTTTGTAGAAAATATTTGGTTAATTGAATTATGTTTATTGAATGATTTGAAAGTTTCCAGTATTTCCCAGTAAATTTTCTATTATTTTCCCAGTATTCTGTTTCTGAAATTTTAAAACTTTAGCAACAGAATACTGAAGCAACAATACAAGAAAAATATAATCATAAATATTTATTAAAAGAATATTTGTAAAAATTTTTAAAAATTTCTCAATTTTTTTGTGACTGTTGTTTATTTCAGTTGAAATGTAAATACATCGCAAATATTTAAATTACAACATGCCTGTATGGAAGGAGAGAATTTTAGTAACAATAGTTGAGATGTTATTCTAGTAAAGATGAACGTATTAAACATATATTTTTATATATTAAATATATCGCGTTTTAATGAAAGATTTTACGCGAATTATATGAAATGTATTGAATATTTATTCACTTAAAAAACACTATAATCCATTGTGTAGCAAAGTACTGTACATATACCGGTATATTCATTTACCTAACTTAAATAGTTGTTTTATATCGAATTCTTTTTTTTATTATTGCAAATAGTAATATAAAATGCAGTTAATATTTTCAAAAATAAGACATTATTTCAGTTCTAAAACTAAGCTACAGCACACGCAGTAGATGCTTTGTTCAGTAAAAATGAAGCATATAAATGAATTACAGAGATTTATTAATTATTTGACAATTATTCGAAATAAATTATATTTTAGCATATTAACAGCAGCTCTGGATTATAAAACTAAGTATAAAACTATTACTCCAAGCGCGTTGAAAGTAAAATATCTATTTTAAAAATGATCAATCAATTTTACCTGCTCAGCAATATTTGATTACATCTATCTAATATCAATAAATCTTTGATCTTTCTTACTCCTAGATTTCTTGGAGTAGGAAAGAAATGTAAACGGAGTAAACAGTGAAGTGGCATAGGGAATAAACGGAAGCACCGAGTAAAAGCTTCTTTATTTATCTCAGAATAATATACAATTGTCTCGGGCAAATGACGGGAAAACTAGCACTCGTATGGTACAATTGGGACGAGTGAACTCGTTCGGCGTTTGAAGTAACACACCGCGATTAAAACAGAGGCGTCTCGAAAGCCGACGAGTCTCGTTGTTGGAGGGAAAAAATGTCTGACAAACGAAGGAAGTCTTATATACACTAAAAGGAACTTGGAGACTTCCGATTCTTCTCTTAGGCGTCGTCCAAGCCGAGGTCAAACACACCGTTCTCTCAGGAGTAAACTTCGTCACAACCTAAGACTGTCAGAAAAATGAAAGGCGTTAATTAATAGATTGTTGCGCCATTTTACTATCGCAAGTAGTTTAAGTCGGGGAAATACGAGTTGGAGTAGAAGCGAAAGAAAAACATGAACCTATACCAAAAGCTATATTATATATTTCTCATCTGATTAGATTTCATGATGTCAATAGCAGAATCGTTTAAGTTTAAACATGATCCTTTAGACACTAATTTTTGATACGTCAACAATGAATTCTTAGTATAAAATACTATCAAATACTTCATCAAAGAATGTAATAATCGCACTACCTGCATTACATGGTTTCTTTAAACAATGTTCAAGAAATATAATTTATTTATTTTTTCGTTCAAATATTTTTAAAAATAATTTTTACAATACTATATTCAGGTCAAAATTTCAGATTATGAAACTCACTTCCTTATCCAAATTCCTCTCTATTTGTCTGGACAAATATTTCGAGAATTTATTAATAACTTTATCAAAAATTAAAATAAGATATAAATGTGAAATAATTATTAATTAATTCCTAACGCCGGACGACGATCGACAAACGGCTTAACTTGCCATTTCGTAAATCTAATTAAATCTCTTCCTCTCCACTGTCAACTCAAAGGGGAATTTGACAATAAAACTCGACTAACTATCTTTAATTTTAAGCCATTTAGAATTACATCTTTGATTCGATACATTTTAGAGATAACATTTTTCTAGTTTAAACAATTAAATACTTAAATTTTATCGTGAAAACGAGTTAAACGCTATAAAGCCTATCTCTTAAAGGAAATAATCAAAAGAACGATTATATTCGGAAGAATAAATCTTGCATGGACGACCCACCTTTTTAGTAAGTTTGGACACGGTCCTGGTTAGCGCTCGATTTTCTGCCTTTAGTTTCTCATTTTCGTTCTTCACTTTAGCCAGCGTCTAAAAGAAAGAACGAAGTGGATGGCAGATATTTTGACAAAGCAAATAACTAAGAAATAATAAAAGCTAACCTTCAATTCCTCCTCCATTTCGGAGATCTTCCTCTCTAAACTCCTGCGTTCCTGCAGGAAACCATTGATCAGAAACATTTTAATCACTTACCGACTGCTCGACGAACCTATCCTACCTTTCTTTCCACCTCGTTTCTACTGTTGGTCTGAAAGGAAATGAAAATTTTATATCAAAGCTGCGTTTTAATAAATAGTGACACTAACGATAAATTTCTTTTCGTATCAGTACGACACGCGAGAAACCCACTTCTAAAATAACGAAATCGAAAAAAATTCGAAATAATTATGCCAGATTTTTCATTTACTGGTATTATATGGAATGGTTTGAAAGGTGTAAAGTTAAGTGAAAGTTTGCCAAAAATAATAATAAATTTATCAATAAAACGACAAGATTTTAACTTGAAGAGTAGTCAAAGGTTTGTTGTCATTTGATAACTTCTGGTTGAAAACAAGGAAGTTAGTAGAAGTTAAAATACGTCAATTCTATTTTTGCTTCATCAATAAATCACAGTTAACATAATCATATCTTTAACTAATCATGTAAAATTAAAAATATTTTATAATTTTTTGTTTTATAAAGCAAATAATTAATGGCTACAGTTAGAACTTTTTATCTACGTTTTCTTCTAAGGCATACTTATAGTCATTTTGCGATTGTCGATTTATGCATAAAACAATAACAAATTAATTACCTTTATAAGATAATATACCGTAAGGAGGTTAAGGACGTTAATTATTTATTATCATTACACTGAATAAATTTTAAAATTCCGTAGAAAGCAGATTTATGCAGTGGATTTACAATGTAGGCCAGTGACCAGTAACATTTTCTGGATATGGACCGCAATTGAATTTCATAGGCTTCCGGCAGGCCGCGTGCATTTTTTCTTATAGAGATGCAGGCCTGTTGAGTACCAGCGTACTCCACAATCACTAGTACACTAGTTACTAAAATAATAAAATAAAATAACCTATACTAATGATATGCAAACTAGTAATGAATAGTTTATTCTCATCTTTTCACAGGTCAAGATTAATTTGAATGCTCTTCTAACACGAATATCAGCTTAATTGGGGTTTAATAATGGCATAAGGCAGAAAATAGAAAAATAATTTACGTTGCCAAAATCACCGTAGATAAGCAAAGCTCCGTGAGGTTGCATATTAGGATCTGAGGGACTATATGCGGTCCACGGGCTGCGGGGTGTTCACTGATGTAGGCAAATGAAATTTGGAAAAATGAACTCCAATATACGAATTCCAAAATATGTTTCGTATGATTTTAACTAAAATTATTAAAATTATTATTTCTAATGGGAATTCATTAATAACAGTGTAATAATTTTAATAAGTACATTTAGAAAAACAAAAGATCACTTACCTGTATGGCTTTCTGCAATTGTTCTTTAGTCTTTTCTAGATTTTCTTCCGATTTTCTCAATTTTTCTCTTAGTTCTTCATTCTCTTCTTTCAACTCCAAGTACAACTATATAAGAAAAGAACTTTTTAAAAAAATAATTCACATTTCTTTCTTCAACAAATCCAATGTAACGAAAAAACAGTTTTATTTGTGGGCATTAAAAAGTATGGTTTATCGAGGACATGTTACAAATTTTAAATATAATATCCTATTGCATGTGAGAATCATCACAGACAATCAGTACGGTTGATGTTTGAAACACAGTTCATTGCCTTCAGGTTTTACACCTTCGAAATGATGATCAGATTAAGCAGTATCCCTTACAACATTAAGGTTTCTTTATAAAATGTTTGTTGTCTTCAGACCAAAGATGCCACAGTAGTGATGTTTTTATAGTAATTTTCTTACGGAAATATCTTCCGTGTGTCCTGAACTGTCATCATATCAGATTTCGGCGCACTTAAATATTCTCTAAACGGCGTTGAATAGGGGTATTTTACGTTATATTTACTTTTAATAACTATAATAATATGAGTAATTAATTATATCTTAAAATAAATCTAATTTATTAATTTTGAAAATGATTATAGGCTATAAATTCAATAAAAATGCAAATTGCCGTTTCACTCAAGTGTCATTGAGGCGCAAGACCAAACCCGATCTTAAGGATATTTTGTTTATATATTAATACATCACTTTTATTAAGTACAGTACTTAAAGCTCGCTTCTTCATATTGACACACGATCTTTTAATATGAAAAATTTATTTTAATGAAAATGTTATTAAAATAAAACGAATATATTCACGGATTTGGTTATTTATAAATTTCGAAAAAAGGAAATAAAATTGATCGAAATAAATTAACAACATAAATAAAAGTAGGAAAATTCCGGACATTGTTTCAATTGTGTACTATATACATATATAAATTTTTCCGTTAAAATCTCATTAAAAATATAAGATTATTGAGTTATTTTATATTGCATTTTATTAATAAATACTTTTAAAAACTTTTACAAACTATTCTTTTGTTTTTTGAGAATGAGATCCAAAAATTAGTCCATCACACTCTTCAGAAACATAACTGAAGATAATTCAATTGGATTGTAGGATAAGGCAGCGTAAACATAAGGGCGATGCCTTCCCGGGAGGACTTTCCCTGGAAAACTAGCCCCTATTTAGGTGTTAGTCACGTGAATAAATCTGGAAAATTCCACGTGGCCAGTCCGTTGATGAGGCTCGAATCCGCTACCAACTACAGTATCACAGTTCAGAAGATAAAACCACTAAAGTCAAGTAGTCGAAAATTCAATTGGAGTTAGAGCGTTTAGGTTACGATATAATTATAATTTTTATATAGTTCACAATTTGTTTTACATTGATAAAACATTAATAATTAAAATTAAAATCCCGTTTTAAGAATCTATTTTCGTACAGATAAAGAAGGTAGAAACAGCTAACTAAACGTTGGAAAATATTCTTAGGAGCTGATTATGTAACAAGTTTATAACCTTATGTAATGCTTTTTCTGCCAAAACGGTTTTTCAATCACCTTACTTTTTGTTCTTCTGCAGAATAACATTATCATATTTTCAAATTTACTCTGAATCATTTTATCTAATTTTTGTACGACTGATTGTGCTTGATAAATGATAAATTGCACGCTTCTGTTAACATTATTTTCGATTTCCTTGAACATCTTTCTTTTAAAAAAACTTATTTAATAAATGGAGGGTTACTAGAAACAAGTTCTTTTCATGTAAGATGATTTTTATGCAACATTTAATAAACCCACGAAACAGCGGCATAACTATAAAAACTATTGAAAAAATTGCTTAGATTGGTAGGAAAGCCCCAAAATATTTTTGCAGGAAACTCAAAATTATAGTTAGCCATTTCCATGGACATGAAAGTCAAAATGATTGAGGTAAACTTTTTAGGCATCATTTTCTTTTGTTTCCACAAGAGGATCACAATAAGTTGTTAGCATTTATTATAATAACGATAAATAATAAAAATAACTTTGTGTGTTTCCATTTATCATTAAAACTCAATAGTTGATAATTAGTTATTTGTTTATAATATATAGATCTACATTACTTACAACGGATTCTTAAATAGATAAAAATATTCACGTTTTATTTTTGTAATGATAAATAATGACACTATCATATATTCAAAACAATTATTAGTCTTCAATAATTCTTATAAAAAGCATTATTAGTAATATTACTAATTTCGTTTAAAACTTTGAATCGATCATTTGAATCATTATTGCCTATGTGAAAATCTTTACGGCTAAGAACGTCGTTGTGTTATAAATAGGAGAAAGACACCCGAGATAAAGGCACTCTCTTTTCCAAGAGAGGAAAGATAGCGATACTAGTAATAAGAAAATTATAAAATATTCGGAAAAATTTTGTATCAAACGATTAAACTAGACATAAACTAACTTTATGTCAAGTTTCGAGATGGAGTTTATAAAAGATTGGAGACATTTCGGAACGAATCGAGCGTAAATAAGACTAATAATAGGTCAGAATCGAATTTGTTTAAGTCAAAATTTACTAATTATGCTACCAAATACCATTCAATCTCGACTGATTAAGGTTTAAAATTACAGTTAAATTAAAGGAACATAAAATTTTAAATAAAATATATAATTTTATAAGCTTTATTTTTAGCAATAATAATTAATTGATATATATGAAACATTAGGAAAATTATATTTTACGTTATTTGAAATTATATTTTATGTTATTTGAAATTATAAAATGTCTATTTTAAACAGAAAATTTATTAAAATAGATATTAATTAATGTAATAAAAATTAGATTTTGATGTACTGTACGCTTTCGTTTCGGTAATTTGCCTCTTCTACGTTTTCGATTTTAAAATAAAAGGTCAGCAGCCAATATCTATTTAAAATGTAACTATTAAAAGGACTTATGAGATTTAACAACTACTAAATTTTTAAAAATAATGTAGATTATCTATTATTAATTTTTATTCGTTTTTCTAACGTTTTATTCGTTCGTTTTAAATTTTGTCCTTAACATTAGCATTAATATCTGTAAATAAATACACAAATAACATTCTGAAAGTTTATAATTTATATCGGGGTTAAGGTCTACGTTATAAATTATATAAAGTAAATCAGAGAGACACAATATATTGCGAGTCGCATATCAGTTGCCAGCAACTTTAATATTGTCTGCCAACAATTTCATTTTATCTACTGTAATCTGTGCTATTAATTTAAATTAAATTTACAGTCTTTAAAAGTCGCCGTGACCAAGACATTAACAAATTAAAAATTAAACCGTAAAAAAATGATAGATAAGAGGAATTATTACTGTCTAAAACTACTTAAGATATCTTCAAAGTATGGTAGCTTTATTGCAGACAATTTATTAAGCAAGCATAGATTAATAACGAATTTCCGTTTACTAATGTATAAGCATAAATACGAGTTAAAAAAGGATTTAAGCATTTAAATATTTCTTAGCATTTTTTAGTGTAAGAAAATCATTGATTAAATTTAATTAAGAAATTTTAAATTAACTTAAGAATGCAGCTACTCGATGATGCTTTGGCTGTTTACGGGGAAGCCTTCTTTTAACATATGCTACAGTATATAAGGTGAAGTGCAATAGCACATTTAGATTTGTGTAATATTTATACCACATCTACTTATTGCGAGTAATTTATAACTAGTTAACAATGTGATTTTACAGCCAAACGTTCTACTTATCCTCGCCAATTCTCATATCCCATACCTTATGAAGTTTTAATACAAAACTTATTAATGTTTGTAAAGAAATTTCTATATATATATTTTTTGTTTAAAATAGTTTTTTATTAATATTAAAGGACGAATTTGCTAATTATATCAATTTCTTTATTTCTCTTTAGCCTATATTATTTATTTATTTTTCATTATTTTAAAAGCTTGTTTTTATACGTTTTACAGCGATATATGGCAATTCGTTTTATGTAACCAACTAAAACGAAGAAATACAAATCATAAATTGAAAAAAATCATGTAATAGTACCTTAGCGTTGCAAATTTCGCGTTGTCTACTGTACAGCGTAGACTAACACACATTGCCTGACAGATGAGTTACTTTTATCTATTGCACGCGTAAATTTTGGACAGAAATAGAAGAAAAATGACGTCAGAAGTTTTTCATAAAATAACAATTTTTGTATTTAGTTAAATAGGGTCCAGTTCGAAAATAATGTTAAGTTTCAATTTTGAAATAAAATGACTGAAATCTTACATGGATTGTGAATGTGTTAAGAATAAACAGCTTAGAAAATACATTCGAAGAGTCTTTTCCTCTTCAAAGAGAATGAAACCAAAATTTTAATAGTTAAATTGATAGTTTCCGATTGATTATTTTTTTAGTGGAGGCGATTTCCTGGCGGTGTTCATCTTACAGCCAACCATTATCTATTATTCTTCATCCACTCGATAACGATAAGAATACAGGAGTTTAAGAAATATTACTCCACTCGAGTGAAACACTTGGACTTCTCATCGAGTCGAAGCGAAAATGTTTTACCGAACTCGTCATTGGTCAGATTACTCTTAACGAATAAGTGACGTTTTACCTTTTTATAATCGACGTGCTTCAGGTCTTCGGAGCTTCCGGCCAGAGAGGAGGCGCCACCGATTCCGGTTTCCGGTAGAGATCCGGCCGAGGTGTACCTGGAAGCGAATTTGTTCTCCTGAAACGGACAAAGAATCGGATTCAGTCGACGAACCTTCGTATTCTATTTATAAGCGACGGACGCGTCTCTTCGTCCGCTAGCACCTGTCGTCGTTGGCACTCGCCACCCTTCCTTCAGCCAAACCGCGGGATCTGCGAACTTCCTTTCTTCTGGAACCCCCTAGATTGCCCTTCGTTAATGCGCCACCCATCGAAACAACCCTACGGCTGGACCGCGAGCCTTTACATCGCGGATCATTCGACACACTCGGCGAGAAGAGGACGAAACGAAAGCGAAACCTTTCATTTCGTCCGAAATCAAGAGATATCTTTGAAAGATAGAAGTAAAAATCTTACCAAAGAGAGGCCATCTTGGACGACAACTCCGGCCGATTGGCGTCGTGACGGTCCGAGCAGCTCAGAGTCCGCGAAGCGCGATCGACGGGGCGAGACAGAGCGCGAGAACCTGTCGGAAACGGAGAAAGAAGGAACGCCCAAATTCTTGCCCGCAGTTCGTCGGACTCCATTTTGCAGATGCGAGGCGTAAGAATGATACAATCCGGAAGAAAGGCCGGAGACAGAGCCGTAGGATCCCAGGGGTTTTCCGGCCGAACCGTATGAATATCGGTTGATGAAAGGGTTGTAGGACATGCCGCGTTGCCTCGGCCGCTTCCACTGGCAACGACATGGCTGCAACTACCCGTGTCCGACGAATGGCTCCTCCCGTCTGCTATATATAGAACCTCTAATAATTCTCATCGCCGACGCGCCTTTCGGCGACCGCCGCGCCGTCTTCCTCCCCCGCACTTTCGTCCCACCTTTTCATCCCGGGACAGATGGCCTCCGCTACCGCACTCCCGAAATAGAAATTCCCGGACCTGTATAAATATAACTTTGCTCGGGAAACTCGGAGCAGAGCGTCGCCCGACTGCTCCCACTCCTCCTTCCCCTCCTACATCAAGTGGCGGACAATTTAAAGAAGCCGAAAAGTTGCGCGCTTTCCTCTCGCTCTTCGAAAGAAGATAATCGCTTCCTCCCCTTCCTCTTATTTTTCTCCTCCCCTTCTGTATTTATCCCACATCAATCCATGTTTGAACGCTCGCTTCCGAGGGGATCATTAAAAAAAATTCACATATTTCCGACATGGATATCGATAAATTTATCCCGAGATCGGCAGTTGTGAAATGGCGGAAGGTCGACACGGAATTTGGAAATGCGGATTCGAGATATTTTCCGGATGTGCCAAACGGAAGAAGCGCGGAAGAACCACTTGCCTGTTTGAACATGACGCCAACGGTACTGGCGAAATTTATTGCCGATGGAGGTTTTAAAGAGGAACGGGCCCGTACGGCCGTAAACCCGGTCGTTAAATTATTTTAAGGATTGATTGTCTCTACTTCCTTACGCATCGACCTAGCTTCTTACCTTCTTCGTCGTTTCTTCCTTTTCTTCCTCTTCTTCTTCCTCATCCTCATCTTCGCTTCCCGGAGCTTCCGATCCGAGTTCCAATTCCTTTCGGGCCATCTTTTCCAGTAATAATTTCTGGGCCAACTTAAGTTCGTCGGAAGTGACTCCCTGCGAAGGAAAAGGGATCATCGGATCGTCCGCGAAAACAGTCGACGACGAACTATTCTCGTCTTACCTGTGTGGGCCTTCGAGTTTCCCGGGTCCTTTTTGCGTGCGCTTTTCTCTGCATCTCGGGCCTCTCGCCGGCAACCGGTGGCACGGTCGACCTTTCGATCAAACAAAAAAGGTTAGTTCTTAGTCTGATCAAACAAAAGGTTGTACTGTTTAGACGACAATCGAAGCACGAAATGGGATGTGTGGTTCCGTTTTTCGGTTTCCAGAATTCGGTTTCCAGAATGTAACAATGCGCAATTAACGTCATTCGTCTAAGTAACGATCCGCAGCAAAACTTGGAAAAAGTTTCTCTTTCTAAATTTCGTCAATTCGCCGCACGAAAGAAAGAAAAATCGTCGCAGATGTCAATTTGTATCTGATTTTAATCCGAATAGAATACACTCTTCCCCCCTCCCCGAGAAAATAAGTCTGATTTGAAAGAAAGCGACGGAGGCTGCGTTTTATTTATTTTCGTGATCCGCTTTTAGATCGAATTACTCTCTCCGTTCTGTAAATTACTCTTCCTTTTTTTCCCTCGGCTAAACGTGGAACAATGCTCGTCCAACAACTTCGAAAATACGTTTATCTGCATCAAAGCAGATTTTTGTTGTTGCTTTTGTCGCACTTGACTTTTTTGTTGTCGATTTTATAATATTTATTATTAATATTAAGATTAACTTTATAAGTGAACTCTTTATAACAAACTTTTATAACTATATAGCCTACATTTCCAAATTGTGGTACTTTCTACAAGCAATGCATATAAGACATCATTTACGGCTTATTATCTAATTCTTTGCAGATATTTTTAATATTCTGTATAATTTACTTATATTAATAATTAATTACTGTATAGTGAATTTATTATCTTTCAATATATATAGAATATTCCTTAATTAACCACTTTTAATTATTAAGTTGGATAAGTGAATCGGTTTTATACTATACTACAGTAAAACTTGTGCGAAACGGAACAGGAATAAAACCAAACCTGCTTAAACGGGTAAAAAATTTATACTTGAAGGTTAGACTATTTACAAAAATATCAAATTTTCGAGTCTTTCTTAATCCTTTTTATACACTCCAGAAGTAACAGTTAAAATGGGTTTTATTGAAGAATAAAACCCATGGGTAAAAAATTATTCGGAACGGAAACCTGTTAAAATAATCGGTGCCCTATAGTTCCTGTTTACACAGGTTTTATTATAATCGCTTTTCTTGAATCTCTAATTTTACGGGAATTTTGGAGCTTGCACTTTTAATAATTTTTATCTTTCTTTGTATTATAATTAGCTATTCATAAACCTAATTAATCTAAGCGGTTCTTCTATAAATATAATAAACTAAAGTCTAGTTACATTAATTCGTAAGTATCGTGGATAAAAGTCTAATTATTTAGTAGGAAAAGATGCCATTATTCAAGCATTTCGTAATAATTCCGACATACTTGTAATTTATATTTTTACAAAATTTTTAATATACAAAAATATTAATTGAATTATAAACTATTACACAATATTTTAACTTGATTGAAAGAATTCTATATTAGGCTAATTCTATAGGGTTTAGATCTCTTTCAATCAATAATGCGTCTCTTCTCTCGACTTTGTTTTTTTAAATTGAAAATTATGGTTTTAATATCTTGTATACTATTGAATGTATAACAATCTTAGCTTCATTAAAACATTTTAAAAATATTTTTATCGGCTGAACTGCCTTTTTCAACAGAAAAATTCGTGAATTTTATCTCTGAAAGGCATCTGTGCAAAGATGTTTATTTATCTTTGAAGCTTTGTCTTTTATTTTCTACGTAATACTGATACTCTTTAAGAATTTGTTCTCTTTACGGAAAAACAGACAAATGCGATATTCGAGTACATTTGGCAGTTGCATTTGTATTCAATTCATATATTAGGATTATTTTTACAAAATTCTTCCAAAACGTTCGGCCCCATTTAGTGTATTTATGTATTCATCATTTAACCGATAATGATTTTCTAAACTGTCGATTATATAGAGAAGAATTGAATATGTTTACAATAATAAAAAGGTCGAATAAATAACTTATATTTAGCAAGTTTTCGAACCAGTATATAAGAACACAAATTTCTTTTATGAGTTTATTTTTTTAAAATTATTTTAAATTTTAATACGTAGATAAATCTTGTAATTGTTATATAGATGCTGTTTCTCTAATTATTAGATAAGTAAACAATGAATACTTTGTCAGCATTTCAAAATGAAAACTCCACTACAAATGGAATCATATTTTGGCAAAAATAAGATACATAAATCTTTCAAAATAAGACAAAAAATCTTCTAAACATTGTCAATTATCAAGTCAATGTTGAATATATATTATACTATATACTGTATTAATATCATTATCACTCCTTTATATCGACGTTCGATTGAATATTTTTACATTTCTACACATTTTTTGGCTTAACCGATTTCTGGAAATAAATCAAAATCATTTAATTAGAGTAACAAAATATTAATGTTTTGTTTTTCCGTGGGAGCCGATAAAAATGAAATAAATAATTTATTCCAACGAATTCCACTCCGCTAGGAAAATACCAACATAAGAACGGAGATAATACTGTACTTAGAAACCTTATTGACCTATAGCGTAAATAAAAAAAGTGTCTGCTATCCGTAAATCCAGGATTGTATATAAACGTAATACATATTATATAATATGTTAAAAAAATAGAGAAGGTTCCAAAGAAACAGAGATCGGAGAGTTTATTGCATTCTAGTCAGGAGCAGTGAATTAGACCTGAATACTGCATAAAGGTATGCAGGTCTAATTCACTGCTTCTATTGTAAGTTATAACTTACAATACTAGTAGAAACAGCCCAGAGATTGTACGAAGATAAATACGATGCCGCAATACTATTCTTTTCAGAAAAACATAACAATATTTTCATGTTTTTCTGAAAGGAAAAAAATAGATATTTGATCAGTTGTAACTAGATTTTTGAGTGACCGGAGAGACCTCGCAAGCACGTAGAGTTCGGCTTATACATGATATTATACATTAATATTGCATTTTCCCATAAAGAAGTTTATCATGGTTTTAATATAGAATAACAATTAAAATCATGGATGGGGATGGTTTTAAGATTTCGCTCAACCATAACCGAGCAAATAATAGCGTACATTTTAATAATTTAAAAATATTTCTGTGAATTTTCTAATTAATTAAAGTTTTGTTGAATTGCAAACTACATAAGAATATTTGTTACTAAAGCTATCAATGAATCACACGATGCATATCTTTCGATCTGATAGCATATAACTGTTATATTTGTAAAGAAAAAAAAATTATTTTTATATTTTGATGATATATATCTCATTGATATATAACATGTCTTCCGGCATTATCGAGAAAGATAACTTGAATAAACAAACCTTAATTCATTAATAGAAGATAAACTGTTATCATTTGAAATTGCAATTCAGTTTTTTTTTTTTTTTTGACGTGAAGAACGTTTATATTAGCTTAACTGTTATAGAAAATCCGTGAGGATTTCGTTGTGGGCCTGGACGGACCCATAATGGGTTTCTAAAAGGCCCTTTTAGGGCCTAGGAGCAGAGGAATTAAAAAGAAAAAACTTATCAGTATGCTTAAAGAAATGTCTACTAATTTACAAAAAATTAAAAATAGCTTCAAATAAGTTTATAATTTAAAATAAACAAAATATTATTTATCGCAATTTATTTTGCTTAAATAATAAATTTTTAATTTCATTATTACTAATTTTCGTTATTTGATTCGTCGTAGAACATAGCAATACAGATTGTATAATTCCTTGATATAGGCAGTGGCGTAAATACTATTTAAGCGAGGTTATGCGATGCTTACTTAACACCTAAATATGGGTCATTTTCTTTAACTCCTGTATTCACCAACACGAGTCATTTCGAGAGTTGATGTATTTTAGTTATACGGTATATCAACTCCGGGTACAATGAAGAGTTATTCATCTTCGTATTCACTAATCTAGAGTTTCTGAACTCGAAGGTTGCTTACTCGTTATACGACAGAGAGAGAGTTGTTGATTTGTGGTATCTAACAAATACGGTGATTGGTTTCGATAAATCACGAGACATAGTGTATAAAATGACGCATGAAGTCAAACGTACCCGAAAGCATTTTAACACAATTGAAAAAGAGCATTTTGTTGGAAGCTACTCAAAAATATAGTAATATTAGGCTATAGAAAATAAAAAAACAAACAAATACTGTTTCAGTTAAAGAAAAACAAGACATCTGGAAAGATATCGATAATCATCTCTTAATAATAATCATGTTTATTTTAACATGGCAGCAATCTACAATTTACTAGAGTCGATTTCCAGACTTGTTATAATATACATATTTTATTATAGTATATATATATATATACACAGTTTATATGGATTATATGGATTACATGGATTATATGGATCGCATGGAACAAAGAAGTCTTTGGATTATTTCTGCAAGAAGAAATGCCTTGGAACGATTGGATGATTACGACTTTCTATGTCAATATCGTTTACCAAAACATTGTGTGACAAACTTATTAAACAGAATTTGTTATAGTTTACTTTCCATAATAGAGTACTTGGAATATATAATATACAGTCGATTCCCCTATAACACAGTTGATTTTTCCGTTTTATATGAATTCCACGTTGTACGAGTCGCTTAGATTTTACAAATACGTGAGCCGTTCACAGCCCAGCACACGTAGTTGTAAAATCTAAGTGACTCGTACAACGTGGAATTCATATAAAACGGAAAAATCAACAGTGTTATAGGGAGGTCGACTGTAGATGAAATTATTATAAAGATTTGTTTTGATCTCAATCTAATTCGTACCTATAACTCAAACCCCCTACGAGATTATATATGTATATAATCTCGTTGAGATTATATATGTATATAATCTCGTAGGTGAATCTAACTCTAACTCGTAATATAGAGATAAGGAAAGTCCTCCCGGGAGACACCCTCTTTGCCCATGTGTTACTTGCCTTATCCCATACAACTGTAAGTTCGTCATTTCTTTATTAATTAGCTTAAATGTAGAAATATTTTAGAGCTTCTAATTTATCATT